ACTTGAAAAAACTTTGCAAGGCTCTTTCTTGTTGGAGCTAATTAGTTGGAAGCAGCCTTTTATCTGTGAAGAAACAGGATTCTTAGCTTAAACGTAAAAAGGTTATACTGCTGCCTTTGTCTTGTGTTTGCTCTCTTGGGACCAGGTTTGGGTCAGAACAGATCATTGCTGTGTCCCAAGGTCATGGGATCCTCTTTTACGACCTTTTGACAAGCAAAATCAATGGGGAGGCCAGATTCACTTAACAATCGTGTTACTAACTTATCAACTTCACTTAACAACTGTGGTAAGAAAGGTTGTAAAATGGGGCAAAACTCTCTTAACAAATGTCTCATTTAACAACAGAAATTTTGGACTCCAATGTGGTTATAAGTCAAGGACACTTGGTTTAGAGATTAAATTGATGTATTATGAGCACCTTTAACTTCAGTCTTTAAACACATCATGAGCTTATTATGAAAGCATGTGACATCTCCTTAGCATCAATCAGATTTCCCATTTTAATATAACCCCTGAGTGGGTAGTCTTATGTATGTATGAACTAATGCCTGGTTTTGTGTTAAAAGAGTGTTAAAAGAGCAGCCTACTACTTAGTTTGTTGGAAATACCCAGGGACTTTTTTTTTTAAGTGACATGTTCAAATTAGAAATGAGAGATTGGGTATGACATGTCCTGTTTGATGATTTGATGCAGAGGGAAAAACGAGCGTAAGAAAGGGAGGCTAAGGCCTTGGGTTTCTGTAGCAGTATACATGTAGTTTGTTATGTGTGATGGCCATTCGGATCTGGTGGTGCCTCCAAGAGACTTCATGGCTTCTTTCTGCTTATCTGCCAATGACTTCTGCTCCGGAAAAGTCCATAATTAATCCACGACAGACTTGTGAGTGGTTGCTTGTCATTCTGCTATGTAACTAAGCTTCCTTTTTAAATGACTGGTTTGGCTTGATGAAGGTTGTGTGTCTCTTTCACTTCCTGTAATTGTCTCCCTACCAGCAATACTCCCCCCCTCCTCTCTACATCTTAACTGGAATTTGCAGGCAAAAATGAATCTAAGGCCCGTGCTCTGATTTTAATATCCTCTTTATTGGTATTATTTTTCCCTTTGGGTGGAAAAAGCAAAATGGATTAAGAAGTCGTGAAGAGATCTTGTTGAGAGAGGGAGGGAGGGAGGGATGGAGAGAGAGAGACACACACACACAGAGATGGGACAATTACGTGCCTCACTGTTCTATGGAGTCTCAACCAAGCTAGTACTGCATGCATACATTGGTTTACAACTTCCATAATCCCCATTCAGCACAGCTGGAAGTCTTCTGGCTTGAAATGTTGTAGTTTAATGCAACTGCAGCAGTGGTGGGATTCAATTTTTTTTACTACCGGTTCTGTGGGCGTGGCTTGGTGGGCGCGGCAGGGGAAGGGTACTGTAAAATCTCCAGTCAGAGGTGGTATTTGCCGGTTCTCCAAACTACTCAAAATTTCCGCTACCGGTTCTCCAGAACTGGTCAGAACCTGCTGAATACCACCTCCGCACTGCAGGATACCCTGTTGAGGAAGGCTGATCTCGTTTGAAGCATTACAGAGTGGTTGCTTATAAGTGAGTTGTTTTCTTATTAGGGGCCTTAGCCGATTCATTTCAAATTTCCCTAAATTTCCATAAGACACTTAGAACAGAGAAAAAAGCCCAAGATGGCTTTTTGGATTGCTGGACCCTGGAGATGAATGTTTTATGTCAACTCCCATTATGTCTACTCACGGCCCTCAAATTGTTATATATTGCCGTATGTCTGTAGGACCAAGTTGGCTTAGTCAGTGTCAAGTGTGCAGGCTTCATTGGTATTCTGTTCTGCATGGAGGATTCTGATCTACAATCTCCCATCATCTTGGTTCTTGGAAACTAGCATGTAGGGATGATGGCTGTCACAGAATCCAGGTTCTTTTCATTCGTAAAACAGAAGAACTCTTTTCATCAACTTTTGCTTTGAAAATGTGTTTTTGAACTTGTGTACTACAGCTGTTAAATTGTGAGCATGGAGCTCAGACACCCATATCCCCATTTTTCTGTGAAACTCGCTGGACAAACTCGCTGCCATAGGAAACAAAGCAAACAATTAAATCATACATATTCTTTTTCCCTTTTTAATCAGCGAGTCTCTTATTGTCTTTGGAAACAGATCTTCCTAAAGTCCTCTTAGATTGGAAGACTGCTACCTTTTGAGAATGTCTGCCAACAATTTTATTATAACTGTTGGAGTTTAAAGTAGCATTTGATTACTGTAAGTCAACTTCCTAGCAATTACAATCAGGAATAGACAATCCTTTTAAATTGGGGGCACATTTGAGATTTTGAGAATAGAGCAAGTATCTTCACCAAATGGCTCCCTTGGCAGGTTCTGGGGAAATATGGCCAATTACAAAGAACCCAAAAGTGAATGGGAGAATCTCTTTTAAGACGTGCTGGATTCAGACGTAAGGCAAACAAGCTACAACTTAGGATGTCACAACATATTTGATAATTTTCTTTTTGTTTTTAGAAATTATATTTTAAGTATTGTTTCTCGGGCATGTTGCACTTCATTATGATTTATGAGAGATATCAAGCCAGCCAAATGATAAATATGTTAGCAGTAAATGTATTCATTTGAAAATAAATTATATTTTTCATTTTGAATGCCTTGTTATTAAACAATATATATTATATAACTATATATAATTATATTTTTTTTTGTGGTGACCCAAGTCCTGTTTCGATAGGCCCCTTTGTGAGGCCTTTTAGTTTACATTTTTAACAAGGGGCCTCCAAGCTTTTATATAGCTTAATGCCTCACCAGATCTAAACCTGGCAATGATTTCAAGGGATACAGATGCTGAAATCTGAAAGCAATTCCTGAGTCTATCAATCCAGGAATATGGATATAAATGTCCAAAATTTGCAAGAATCAAACAGATTCTCCTTTCAGGTAGGTTTTTAAAAAAGGAAGGGACAGCTCCATTCTCTCTGCCATTTGTCCTCTGATCATGGGAGCATCACTTCTTGGGATCAAATCCAGGAAGGCAGAACTTCAATCCAGGAATTGCATTGGAGATATAAGGACAATAGCCATCGAGGGAACAGTCAAACTAGATGTGGGATTAGTACCGTACGTCTGGGGGTTTTGCTGATAGAGAAGTAGCTGAGATCCCACGAGAAACTTCTTGTTTCCTTTCTCCCCACTCTTTATCCTTTGTTTTCTATAATTATTTTAGAAAGACGCAGGTTCTCTCTTTCTGAAAGGATTCTAACATCTCCCTGATTAATTAAGCTACAGAAAGGAAGAAAGCAAGAAAAGTGGTTGCCTTTCATCTGTTCTCAGGGAAATGTAGCACCAATTACCCCCCCCCCCCGTGAGGTATGGGGGGGGACTGTATGGAGGGGTTTTCCCATCCAAACAAACCTACCATATCCAGCCACATGCAGGATTATGTGTGTCCCATTACACCTCATTTACCAAAAAAAGAACTAATCCTTCAAAATGTTGTCATCGCAGTGGGATCTTTGACGACCCCATATCATTCCTACAAATGAATCTGATGTTAGAGACTGGCACTGTGCTTTGCCTTGTTTTGGCTTCCTATTTAGTTTTAAATTAAAACTAAACTAGACTAAATTAAACTAAACTAAAACTTAAATTAAAACTTTTAAAAATTAAAACAGTCTTTAACATATACAGACGGGGGAGGTTATATGGTGGTCACCAAATGATGGAGGCTGACGCATTCTGTATGTCTCTATGAAACATTTCTGAGAACAGGAATACAGTTTGAAAAATAAAGACTGGGAAGCAGGAATCTGTCTGTCTGTCTGTCTGTCTGTCCGTCCGTCCGTCTGTCTGTCTGTCTCCTCTCTTCCTCCATTGGACATGCTTGTGAACTATGGCAGGGTAGACTCAATTTTCTGGATAAGGTTCTGTCAAGATGCCCCTTTGAATTTCTAAATGAAAATGCTATTTTTAGACCCATTGTGGTACTTTCTTCCTGTTTTCTCCTGATTTAACAGCAGTGTTACATTGTGTGTACTTAGGCTAATACAGGATATCACTGCACAAGGCAATATGACAACCTCACTTCCTGACTTATGAATGGTTTCAGTCACATCAGTCACCCAGGCAGCCTGAGGCAAGAAAAGATCGTCATTGGTTCAATGACAGGAACGTGGGAGGAGGACTGTAATGTACCTAACAACCTCCAGATATACAGGAATTTGTGATCCATTTTGGAAGTCACAAGAAAAGTCTACTGTTTGATCAAAAGCAATACAGTGATAGTTGGTGATACGATCTCAACAAGAAGAAAGATTTTTATGACCCTGGGGAATGACATGTGAAAATTTGAAATATGAGAAGGATTTGTTCTCTGTACTTCAGTATAGATATTGGATCTAAAATAACATTAGTCTTTGGCAAGAGGAAAACGCTATTTGGTTCATTATGCTCAATATATCACTTTACTGTTTTGATTATTTATTTAATAAACTGCTCATTCCCAAAGGCCTTTCACTGCTAACAATCAAAACCATCATAAAGCAAGAAAACTCATCTGAAAGTAATAAATGAACTAATGGTTTTACAGTTGTATAGAAGCAGAAGAAAACATACTAAGCCATGTGTTGACCAGATGACCTAACCATCGCAACTATGCCTTCCTCCTGGGATAGATTGAATGGTTAAATTGCAGGTGCTTTCCTCAATCTCTATGGGGAAGGTGTCCCAAGGCATGGAGAATGGGTGAAAAAGACTAGCCAAATTCAGTGTTCAGAAACCAAAGCTACAGAGCTTGGTTCTCAATAACTCTGTATCTTTTCATGATACTTTATTGCTTGAACCAGAAATCCACCCTCCTTCTAACTGGGTCATCCTTTTCTCAACATAATCGTAATACCTAGCTGTAACCATCCAGATGAAGTTATTTCATAGAAATGTAGAACATGGAAAGCATTGCAAATATCAGTTGCTGTTTCTTTTCCAGACGGAGTGTGCAAACTATATCCGAGTTCTTTATCCTTTAAACCGGACTCATCTCTTAGCTTGCGGGACTGGAGCTTTTCATCCTGTCTGTGCTTTCATCTACGTGGGACACAGGGGAGAGGTAAGGAGATGATGTGCACCTGAGGCAGACCATATAAGTACTGTAGTGAAGGATCGAGACCCTTTTCTGTTAAGAGCAATTGTGACCAACGATACCTCCTCCTGGGGTGGGTCAGTCTTGAGTCAGTCTTTTTTTTTTTTTTTTTAACTGGGGGAAGCCAATTTGGTTTAGTAGCTAAGAAGCTGGATTAGAAACCTTATGCAGACCCTGAATTCTACACCTCCCTTATTTATTGAACTTGGTTGACTTTTGGTCAGTCATTCTAAGTCCAACTCATCTCACAGAAAGATTGGAAAATGGCACATAGGAGAAGAAGGATGGGTTGCAAAAAATAAAAGTAGGATATAAAGCAAATAAAGGAGAAGAAGGAAGAAAGGAGAAGGAAGAAGGTGAGCCCTTCTTTCTCTTGTGGAAAATGGTACTCTTTTATTTTATTCATTTTTATATTTATAGCATCCACCCCCATTACTATAGAAATAAAGGTGGGCTCCTTGTGGAGGGGGCTTCTCCAGGGGTGGGATTCCAAATTTTTAACAACCGGTTCTGTGGGTGTGGCTTAGGTGGTGGGCGTGGCTTGGTGGTCATGTGACTGGGTGGACATGGCTTGGTGGTCATGTTATTGACTGGGTGTGGCCAACTCAATATCACTCACATCAAGGCACGCATCTCTTCACCTGGCCTCTCATGACTGTGGGGATGCTGCAACAGTCGTAAGTGTGAAAAATGGTCATAGGTCACTTTTTTCAGTGCCATTGTAACTTTGAATGGTCACTCCACACAAGCTAAGTTCCATCAAAGGAGGGGGAAAAAACTCCAGAGAAGTTCCTGAGACAGAAAGTCTAGTCCTGCCAAGAATGTAATAAGAGGCAGTTTCTGTAAGCAACACCAGAATGTTTCCTTCCTGCCTTCCTTACAGGATTAGGCCAGTAATTTCTTCTAACAACGGGTTCTCTGAACTGCTTAGAAAGTTAACAACTGGTTCTAGTGAACAGGTACGAACTGGTAGAATCCCACCCTTGGGCTTCCCTCATTGATCCTTACAAGACTGAGAAGCAGTGATTGTCCCATGGTATCCCAGTTGAGTGAGACTTGAACCCATGCCCTTCCAGTCCCATTCCAGTGATTCAACCATTACATCCCACCTGGTTTCCCCCATCAGCTCCCTTGTACTTCCCTTCCCTTCCCATTTCCAAGGCAGCTTCAATAATGGGCAACAGTTGCCTATTAGTTTCAGACAAAGGGGTGGTATTGTGGCTGGCCTTAATAGCGATAAAAAAAAATAACTCAACTTCTGGACTGAAATGTATTCACTTTCTTTAATCATGGTTAAGAATAATTATAATTCTTCTGGTTTTCTTGACTCATTAAGCTTTAATTACACAAACATGTAAATGAATGCAACAATATTGCAGAGAGAAGAATGCCAGCCTGAGGGGAGGCGAGAATCATTGTTATAAAATACTAAACTATAATGTGCTGTTATATTCAAAGCAATTCAGTGTATTAAATCCAGTAAACTACAGTTTTGCAAATAAAAGGGAAAAAATCTCTTTTGGATCAGAGAGAGATTTAATCAGACTAGCATCTTGTTACTGTTAGTTGACAGATATCTATTGAAATCATAGAGAAGACTGGACAAGGCTTTGGTTGATTTAACAGATCTTTTCTTATATGCGAACTGGTCTACTCACTTAATGCAGAAAGATTAAACAGTGATATTTCCAATTCCAGGAAGGAATAAATGCAGACAACAACTTGCAATTCTTTGTGTTAAATGTCTTATATTGTATTAAATTCAGAAAGGTTGATTTATGTGCTTATGCTTCTCAGATAGGAAAAGACCCTTGATTTATCAGTTCAGTGCACTTAGCCTGCTTGTTGTTGCAACTAAACATAACTGCCGTTGTGGAATTTGTCCAGCCTTCTCAGCATTCTAAGAAATGAATGTAGGATATATTAAGCTGCCAAGCAGATCAGTGCACTGCTCCATTCATATCTAACTCCTACTTATACAGCTTTCTTCCTCTGCCTGTTTTTCTGTCTGCTGTCTTTAAAAAAACAAACAAACTAAACTCCATTTAGCATGTTCTCCATTTGAGCATGTTCATTGACTCCTAGATGTATTTCCAAGGAGAAAGCAGAAATAATGTTAGATGGGGATAGGTTTAAAAAAAGAGGAGTTCTTGATGCTCTATGAGCTTGATTGTTTTCCTGCAGATGTTTCATAACCCAACCTAGGCAACATCATGAGCGCTAACAACCTACAAAAGCAGTGAAATTGCAACTGTATAACTGTCTTATAACTGTATAACTGTATTAACTGTCTACGTTAATATTAAGCCATCTGTCTTGTGTTTGAGGGAAAGCACAAATATTGGCATATATAGGATATCTGGGATATGAGCTACAAGTACTGTAGCTTCCAAGGATGGATTCCTTTGGAACTGTGAGATCTATTATGGAGGCCGCTAAACCTTCCTGCCTCCCCTGTGGGTTCTCACATTTTTAAAGACATCTTTTAAATTAGGAAATAAGTCCGCTCTAAAATGAAACAACAGTCTCCAGTGCTGTTTTCGTTTTCAAAAATGCCTTTGGATCCCAAATAGGCCCCATAATCTTTTTTTATTAAAAAAAAACGGTGGATGGTTGCCATCTGGACCTTTGGCCTGTACACACCTGCTCAGGAATGAGGTAAAAGTAGAAATCATCTGCTGAGAGAGAGCCTACACATCCACCTGATATTTTGATACTTTGTAACTGATTATGTTCCCTGAACTAGTCATTAGGGATTTTTTTTTGGGGGGGGGGGGGTAGTGGTGGTGGTGAATAGATAAAAAAGTTGAGATGACAAGCAGACTTGACTATCTTGATTTTTTTTCACTGCCTTGTGAAACCGCTTGTACCTCGTGTCATTTTGCTTATGTACCTACAAATGCCCGGGTCTGGAAGCAGTATTGTAGAAAATAACAATCTACTCTCTGTAATTTGCACCTATTGATCACATTGTTCAAAATTCTTGCAACCAGAAGGACTAAATCATTCTGTTTGTTTGATATCTATATCTATTATTAACTCAATCTCTTAGAAAAGAGATTGAAAAATGTATGGTTGTCTTAGTGTGTGTGTGTGTGTGTGTGTGTGTGTGTGTGTGTGTATGTGTGTGCGTGTGTACATATATAACACCATTCTTCTATATATACATAAATTACAAAACCTTTGGTGTAATAAGATATTAATAAAATTTTGCATTCTCTCAAACTCAGTTAAAATGTCCAGTCTAACTCTGTAAAGGACTAATATAAATAAAATCAAAACTAACCAAGACTTAAAACCAATTAGCAGCCATTTGACCCACTGGCCTCTCATGAAAAACACTCCGATCAACAACCAGATATAAAATCTGTGGGTGGCATTTCTCGTCCTTTCCTCATTAATCAAACTGGCCAAAGCAGGAAGGTCGCCCAACTTCACCTCATAACCCCTCTTGGCTCTGGCAATTTCAGAAGCTTTTATGAGCAAGCCTGTGGGAGAAAGAGTCCTTTCAGCACAGTTGTTTATCGTGAGACCCTGGGATGATCACTTGGACTTCTCATTTCATGCAATGTGCCTTTCCGAAATGTTCAGACTGACATCACCCTGGTTTGCTATGCAAAGCAGAAACACAATCTAAGCCCTGTGTTGCGCCTCGAGTGTGGGTGTGTGGAAAGCCTGAATGAAGGTCCCACAGTTAGGTGGTTTGAAGAGATCGCTTTGTCCAGCCAAGGAGATGACTCAGTCAAAACAGTCAAAAATTGCAGAAATAATATCAGCATAGCAATTTTCAAAGGAGGCAATTTTATTAACCTGAGGGATATTTCTTGAAACTGAACAGGATAGTGAATACTGCTGTACCAAAAACATTTTACCAAACAGTTACAGAGTGGTCAGTGCCTGGAATGCACTACCTGACTGTTGTTACATTCTCTAACCCCCACTCCTTTACCCTTAAACTATCCACTATTGACCTCACCCCATTCCTAAGAGGTCTGTAAGGGGGGTGCATAAGTGCATGCTTGTGCCTACAGTCCCTGTCCTATTGTCCCTATTTATTCATACCTATTTCCTGTATTCTTACTCATGTTTATACTTACACCTATTATCTTGTAAGTGATTGACAAATCAAATAAATAAATAAAAATAAAAGTTAACCATGGCAAAGACGTTAAATGTCATTCTAGGATTGGCTGTGGCCTTTTCCTCCCTATATTGCAAGTTTGATAATCATTTATTTTGTTATTGACCAACAACAGTTACAGACACAGTTTACAGTACTAAAATCAAACGTAGCTTATTTGTACAGATGAGTCAGTGTTTTTGTGGCTCCATGCTGGTTTATCTGAACCTAGAATGAAACTAACACCTTTTTTTTGGCAATGCTGAGGCTTGTAGCTTTCATTGTTTTCCTCCCCCCTCCCATCTCTCTCCTGAGTCTCTGAGTTCTTAAACTCAAGTCAGTTTCTTCTTAACCTCTACTGCGACCTTTAATTCATAAAGATGTAAACATTCCAAGATCTATTGGCACTGAGAAAGCCATAGGGTTAATAATGGGATGAACACCAGTCTTTAGTAACTTGATTTTTGCTTATATTAAGAACAAAAAAAAACCTGCTGTTACTTCCTCTTGGTGAATCTGTGCTATCATGACAAGGGTTTCCTTACACATCCTATGATCTGAGAGCCTTTTGGGGTTCTCTTCATCCTTATCACATAAACACTTCCACTTTTCCTTTGACTCTATTAGTTTGATGTGGACACCTAATTTTTCCCCCTCATTTCTCTTCCCAGCACATGTTCAGCATGGATCCAACCAGTATAGAAAATGGCCGGGGCAGATGTCCACATGAGCCTAATCGGGCGTTTGCAAGTACATTTTTTGGTAGGTGCCAAAGTAAATTAACCTGAATCTTGTATTCTAATGGCTGTACATGGATATTTATTATTTTATGTGTATATTATTATTTTTCTGCTACTTAGTCTACAGTTTAAGACATTCAGCAAATATGTGCTGGAAATAATTGAAGAAATTCATTGTCTCAGGTGGACTTCTCAGGAATCGATCTTATAGGCTTCTTTGCCTGGTGTTTTTCTGTTCACTCGAGAGAATTCAGTTCTTCAAGTGGATTCAGAAAAGTCTAGAAAGAATCTGTCCAATCATTCTTCCAGGCTGCTGCTGGTCACTCTGCTCAAGAATCAATAACTTAGGTTATTTGTCTGTACGCATGTATTAGAAAGCCTCTTCTTTCACCATTTGTGACTCTGGGTGGCATACAAAATGGGGAAAAAAATCAATAACAATAATGAACAAAATTAAAAAGCTCAACAAAACCAAAAACATAATAAACTACTGAGCCTTTCTTGAATGCCTAGGCAACTGCTGAATTTATGATTCTATAATAGATGTGGGTTCTGTTCAGTGGTGGGATTCAAAACTTTTTACTACAGGTTCTGTGGGTGTGGCTTGGTGGGCATGGCAGGGGAAGGATAGTGTAAAATCCCCATTCCCTCCCCACCCCACTAACCTGCTTTCTAGCTCCAGGGCAACAAAAGAAGACCCAGCTAATCAGGTGGGACTCAGAGGCAGAGAATAGGGGCCAGTCAGAGGTGGTGCTGAATACCACCTCTGGTTCTGTTTTTGTTTTTCTAAGACTACCATTATAAATGGACAAATTCTGAGAGCTTAGGAGAGAATGCAACACGAATAATGCAGATAGCAAGAGCTACAGCCAGCAGTATTGTGGGTTGGGGGAAAAAACAGTTGCTGTTTTGCTGAAATAAAAGACCGCTACTTCTACTCTAGATTTCCTAATTTATATATAAATTATGTTTTAGTGCTCAGTGGAATATGTGAGAGGAACCAGGGGGAAGACAAGGATTGTTTAATCCAGTGTTTCTCAACCTTGTCAACTTTAAGACTGAGGAATTCTGGGAGCCGAAATCGACACATCTTAAGATTGCTAAAGCTGAGAAACACTGGGTTGACTTTTTAAAGACTATTATGTCGATGAGTTTTCCCTATGGATGTGAGGCCTGCTCCTTCCCAGTTTAGTCACATTCATTTAGAATTTCAGCGTGATTTTGAGTCCACATAATTTTAAAAAAGGGGGAAAAAAGAGAGAAAAGAAAGGCAGCTACAAAACCCCATTCATTCTCTCCAGGGACAACTGCTCCCCACTGGTGCTTTAATTATTTTCTTTCCTCATCTCACACACAAAAAAATTGTGCTATACATTTTAGTGTTGCCTTTGGTAATGAATTTTCCATGGTAAGAAAAATGATGGGAAAAGTAACAAGAACAGATGGGAGGATTAAAAATGGTAGATAAAATCATCTGGACTTCCAGATCCCATGGGCTGTTGCATAATAAAGGGTTGATCTAGAAAGACCCTGAGAATTGATAGAACAGACTTGTCAAGAATGGCAGCCAAGGAATCTGCTGTTTAGATCTGACCTCTGCCATAAATGCAATTGATGGCTTTAGACAAGCTGTCCTTTCTCACCTTGAACCATCTGTGAATGTTATCAGGCAATCAGAATACTTACGAAGTTCTTTAAATATAATGGGGTGCATCTGTCTATGTGCTGCTGCCTTTATTATTAAAGGTGTCAACAAACACAAAAGCTATGTACAAACAGCTACTGTTTTTAATTGAACTTATTCCCTAGGTGGAGACTTGTATACGGGGCTAACAGCCGATTTCTTGGGCAGGGACTCTGTGATCTTCCGGACCATGGGACATCGCTCTTCTCTACGTACAGAGATGGACCAGAGGCTGCTTAATGGTAGGCAAAAATTATGACTCTTTATCAAGTCAAAAGGCACATACCGAACATGTAAATATGCAGCCTTAGAGAAGTTGGGACTGCTTCATTTTAGGCAAACAATGAAATACTGTAGGGGTGTGTTCCGTAAATTCTGTGCACTGGATCATGCCAAGGGTATAAAGGGGATTAAACAAAGCTCATGCAAAGCTCAGAGATGATCAGAAGAAAAATGACTGACTGAATCCCATATAATGTACACAGCAATCAATGAAAAAGGGAGTGTGGTCCACAAAAATAAGAATGGGGGGAAAAGGTGAAATGGAGGTCATGATCACTTTAAATTTGTACATGGGAAAGGAGGAGGAGATGGGGAAGTGTTTATATAACTAACCCTGTATAGTTTTAATAAGAAGAGTACTTACTTGTTATCTCTCTTGGCAATAACCTTCATTAACTGTTCCAAGACAGAATCTGCCAAGATTTTAAACTGTTAGGACCAGCATCGGGCTACAAACTGCTTCTGGGGATCGTTTTTTTCTCTGTCCAATGATTCTTTTTCTTTTCTCAGCCCCCAAATTTGTTGCTGCTTATATGATCCCAGAGAATGATGATCGGGACAATGACAAAGTTTACTTCTTCTTCACTGAGAAAGCAGCAGAATCAGATAGCAAAGGGCATGCCATCTTCAGCCGTGTGGGCAGAATCTGTGTGGTGAGTTTGTCATTTTCGGGTATAATGATGGCCCCTTAGAGACATGTGCTCATATTGATCTACAAATGGGGGGAAAAAAAGCTTGCAGCTGCGGATATCATACTTTAAAATCTATAGCTCCTGAGACAGCTTATCCCCTGTGAAGTGGTTGCTTGCTACTCATGGGCCTTTGGGATTTAATTTAGGAGAAGCAGTTGAATTATTGTATGGTACTTGAAGATAAAGGCCATATGATGTGTCTTTATTTTATTTTTATTGCTGCTCTGTTGTTTTAGTGGTATTGTAATGTGTTTTGAGGATGTTATTGCAAGCTGCCTAGAGATCTAGAAGGAGACAGTATATAAATTAATGTAATAAATAAATCATAAATATAGATTAAATGACTCAGTTGACATCTTTACGCACCACCGAAATGGATCATTTGGTCTTTGACTAGTGCCTAATTATATTTCATGGATAAGTTTAAAGAGATTTATTAATAGATAGAAGGCCACTTTATAGCACAAGGGCATGCCATTTTGTGATTTATGGCATGGCCAGTTATTATGAAAACTGTTAAGCAATAATAGCCTTCAGTCTGTTTGATTACTTGTTTTCTGTGAGTCAAATGAGAATATGAGAAATGAGAATATCTGAATGTGTACATTCATTTTATTGATTTTTTTAAAAAATATATGTTTAAAGATAAGTCCTCTCCTGGTATCAGTGGCAAAAGTGTGCTGTATAGGTTTCATTTAGGGCTTAAATGGCATTGCATACTTTTATGCAGAAATAGCAGAAGTTAGACCAAAACCTGCACCCAGAGTGTATAGATTTCCATACCAGAAAGGATAAATGTTTCAGCTTCATTTTTGCTTTGTAAGAACCAGCTTCCCTATTAAAAAATACACCCAAGAATTGATAGTTTGGATTTACGCAGAAGAAATAATCAAACCAAATTAGACTCCAGAGGAATGGCCTCTTGAGATTGGAACAAAAATCTTTCCAGGGAAAGGATTGGCACGTATGAAGGATTGGCCAAGGGTCCAAATGAAAATCAAGTAGTAACCGTTGAAGCCCTAAGCTCTGCTGGTAAACAAGAATTGCTTCTAGGACTTGGCAATGTTACAACATATGCACTGAACATGGAAACATTTTAAAAGATTTCTCTCTGATCATGGAGGTCTTGTCTGCTTTAAATTAAACAAAGTTGTCCAGCCCAGCTCAGAAATCTTGAAGAAGCTAAATAAACTCACTAAAGAATTTGGGGAAAGATGCTGTATGAGTTCTGGTGAGTGGTATAAGTATATCAAGTTGGAATTTATGGACTATCGTAGCCTAAGTGTTCAGAGTCGCTCAGCAGTGAGATAGATGGCATATCAATTTAATGAATAAAAAAAATATACGAAAAGTGAAATAGCCAAAGTTGGATGTGTTGCTAAAACCCAAATCAAGATTAAAATGTCCACAGGAGACAATGTGATTCTCATCTATATTTTCTTTTTCTACCGTTGGGACATCCACACTCCTTATATAAACTCCCTTTCACCTAAAGTGCCTTACATCCCAAAAGATGAGGTCTTGCAGTGTTTCATGCAAGGAAGTACCAAACAGTCACTCTCATATGATGAAAAAGAAAGGAAGTTTGCAAGAGCAGATACGTAACTGAAAGACTCCCTGATATCTTTACCACAGTATGTAGCTTTATGTAGCGGTATCTTTTCTACCTTCCTGTTCACTACAATTGCTTATTTGTGATCAGTTTCATGATGGGGTAATATAACATTGTTGGGATTTGTAACAGGATTATTTTAACACCCAGAGCTGAAAATGCAGCTAGTTAAAGCTGGAAAATGCTTAGAAAATCATTATCAACTGTGTTCTTCAATCTACAGTACATTCACTGGCTTCTAGTAATCACCCACCTAAAAATAGAACCATCCAAAAAAAATTTTTTTTTTTTTGAAAAAAGGATTTAAAATGTTTTGAAACAGGAGGGGAGAAAATGTTGACAAATGTATCTGAAACTTAGGTGAGCCTACTTGATTCTGATTTATCCCGAACTAAATCCTAATTTATACTAAATTGGTTTATATACTGAAGTTAAACCTGCTGTCCCCTTGCCTCTCTTTCCTAAAGAAGAGCAGTGAGTGATGTAATGGAGGAAGTCTGCTTGGAACAAGTTGCTGGCCTTAAGTTCTCCTATCAAGATCTCCTCTTTGGTAGGGCCTGGTTCTCGCAGGCTGCATAAATCTTGCCTGACACAATTGTTTCTTTTCCAGCCAAGTTATGAACATGGACCTTTTCTTTCTGGTGTTTCTCTTTTTTGTGATTCCACACCACCACCCCTCTGCCAAAGTGACGGGGGGGGGGGGGGGGACTGATGTTGCTGTATGGGAGGAAGGGATAATACTTTAAAGCTTTTGAATTCAGTTGTTCTTCCAAATGGAAATGCCCCAATATTTTGTTCAAGCCATTTTCACTTCCTCCCTTCTTTCTTCAACTGCTCTTTTTACACTTCTCCTGCAAGCAATTCCTTCCAGCCAAAGGTTCCACAAAGCCATTTTGATGCCAGCTTCAGTTCTTCCCCCTGGATTTCTCTACATCACGCATGCACAAAATGTAATGTAATGAAACTCTGCAAGGAAACTGGCTAATTGTAGAAATAGGAAAGGTGCTGATCGTAGAAGTTCCTCTTCACTGAACCTCTATGGTGTTGTAATTGATTATGTCATTTGAGTAACATGAGAGACAGTTTGGTGTTTATAGTTAAGGCATCAGGCTAGACACTTGGAGTTCTGGTCCTCCCTTGGGTAGAGAGGCAGCTGGCTGATCTTCGGCCAGCTGTCTCAGCCTGGGAAACAGGCAATGGCAAACCATTTCCAAAATCTTGCCTAGAAGACAGCAGGGATTGGGTCCAGGTAGTCAAAAGGAGTCAAAACTAAATTGAAGGCACAACATAAATGAATTGGAGTAATAGGTCACTAGCAAACCTCTTTAAATGTTTCCCTTTGTATTTTATGACATCTGTCTCATGTAGAAAGCTATAGAAATAACTGAGAAAAATGGATCTATTGCAAATACATTCCTAGCACTTTACTTTTCTCATTCTCACTGACCAAGAACCAAGAACCTTTTCTTGTTGGAGCACTGATGAGCTAATAGTGCTTCAGATAGGGAATTTTAATAGGGATATACAGTGCTTAAGATTTGAAGCCAAAATGGTGCTTTGCAGCTCACATGGAGCTGATGTGTAATACCTGATATAACTCCTTAATCCAAACACATCTTTCCTGGGATTACTGACTGGCTATGGAAAGCAAATGTGGGATTCCAGGAAAAAGCACAGTTGTTTGAAGGAATTGCAGATAAGCGCTATATGAAGGGCTCCCTCCACTATCTGAAACACCTTTTTATATTTGGATTTTTCAACCCCATTCTTAATGGCACTCCCCATCATTGAAACCAGAGGGCTAAGCTGATGCATGAGAGATAAAATCCTGCACCCTTTTCTGAGACCGGAAAACCCCCTCTTTTCTCTTTTCTCCCAGCCAATGCCCACTTTAACAATTCTCTGTAACTTTGGTAATTGCCAAGCTTCTCCAACAAAACAGAGAAAAGTTTCCATAGTTTCCTGGAGGGGTTGGGATTGGATCTCTTCCCAACTAAAAATGTTCTGAATTATCTTGACTCAGTTCTCTTCATAAGGTTTTCAGGTAGCAGAATGGTTTTTCTTTTAAAAATGAATATATAAAAAGGTTCTTTTCAGCTGCAGCCCCTTGCTCAATCTGTCTTGCTTACTGGTTTGGAATCAGCAGAACATTTTTACTTGCCAAAGTTCATGAAATTGTAATATATATTAATTTTAAGTATCTTAAGATTTTATGTATATGTAAAACACGCACACATGTACAACATTGAACTTACTTAAAGTAAGTTTACTCATTTTTAAAAAATGCAGAGATAATAAATTAAAACAATTTACAAGTTTAAGAAATTCAAACATATATTAAAGTTAAACCATTATAAAATTTATGCAGAATAAAAATAATAAGGCAGTAATAAGAAAAAAAGCAGCAGAAGGTTAAAATTACAGCAGAACTATTATTAAAAGGCAAGCAGACTAAAAATGTTTTTACTTGGCACCAAAAAATAGCAAAAATGATGCCAGGCATACTTTTCTGGGGAAAGTATTTCAAAGTTGGATGCTGCAACTGAAAAGGTAACATCATATGCTTTAACTTGGCCTTCTCTGCCCACAATCCGGAGTTTGATCCTGAGAGGCTCGAGGTTGACTCACCCTTTCCGTCCTTCCAAGGTCGGCAAAATGAGGACCCAGATTGTTGGGGGCGATATGCTGACTCTTTAAACTGCTTAGAGCAGGCTGTAAAGCAGTATGAAGAGGTATAAGTGCTATTGCTAAGTGCTATTGGCAACATACCTAGAACAGATCCTTTGCTTCTGAGATGTTGATCATGACCAAATTATCCATTTAAAACAAATGAACAAGTAAGTAAATAAATCTGGGTTTTCCCAGATAAATTTCAGCATCTAACCATCTGGTAGCTTTTAAAAAGCTAAGCAATGTCAGATCTGGGTTAATACTTGAATGGCAGGCCACCACGAAAATCTAAACAGTAGGGTGGACTAGGAAGTAGAACTGTTTCATAGCCTTGATATTTTTATAAAAATAATAAAGATGTGATTTTAAAAAATCTGAAAAAAGCACATGGAAATATTCTGTATACGCATGGTAAAACAAATAGTTTGAGAAAAAGTAGTTATCTGAATCTCACTCATCAAGAATAGATTTTAATGAACAGAAACTTACCTTCTAGCCATTTTGGAGGAACTAAGTTAGTTAAGATAGTACAATGCAGACAGACTGTGAGGAACACACTTTTCCTCAATAACTCTCTCCCATTTTTTGGTTCCTGATGCCCAAGATGTCTCCATTGGATGGCTTACACAAGGAAAGCAGAGTTTTATTGACTTTAAAATTATGAGTAGGTGATACAGTT